TCGGCGACTTGTTCCGCCTCCAAGGACACAATATTGTCCATGGGGCTCAACATCACAGAGATTGGAACGCATTCTCTGCGCAAAGGTGTGGCCACTGCTCTGACAAATACGACAGGCGGTCCTCAGGCAGTGTCGGTTTGGCTCCGCGCTGGATGGAGCCTGGGTGGAGTCCAGGGTCGATACATTTTCGTTGGCTCGTGTGGTGATCAATTCGTAGGAAGAGCATCCGCAGGTGTATTCCACTCCTCTATATGCTACAGGATTGATAACGATCATTTCGGTTATATGTAGGTCTCAACGTCAATGATGCTTCGTTTGCTACACTACACCCCTCACTTCCATGGCCCGGTGTTGAGTGTGGAGCAATGGAAATGTATCGTGCCCGGCTATGACAGCCATTATCCGCCAACGTTTAATACAACCATGCTCTTTCTTTTGGCATCATTGGTTCATCATCGTGTTTGGCTGAAACAACACCTCAGCCCCTCTCATCCTCTCCTGTTTTCACTTGTGTGGTCGTCAGGTCTGCTAGTCGACCTGGCTGACGAGGTGTTGCTTGGTGTCATGTGCAATCCTGTGTCGAAAATGATGGCCACCGGAATCCCCCCCCATGTTGCCCAATCCGACAAAATTCAGACGCTGGAGAACGAAGTCAAAATGCTGGGCACGACCATACAGCATAAATTGGACGAAATGCCTGCGATTGTGGCCGGTGAGCTCATGGCACAGGGTGGAATGAGTGGAAGCTCTCAGCTGACAACCGGTGCATTCCATCAAGGGCTCTCTCAGCTCCGTGAGAGCATTCTCCGTGATTTGCAACAGTCCCGATTGAGCGTCGATCCCATGGTCCCTGCCGAATCAAGTACGACGACAGATGCCTCCTCCACACCGGAGTTCAGTCGTGGATTTCCCACTCAATTTCGGTTCCTAAAATGTAAATTGTCCGAGTTGTGGATGGTGTGGTGGCGTGGAGTACCCTCCGATCATATACCGCCTCTCAGGTTTGTCAAGTCACGAGATCTATCAAACTCAAGCGATGTGTCGAATTTCTCGAAAGCCAAGAGAATTATCAATGCACTCGTCAAGCATTCCGACAAAACGGAGTACATTATCTCCCAACTTGACCCAAATGACAGCTCTGCCGAATTCTGGCGTGCTACAAAAAAATTGCCGTGTCTGTGGGCATCCTACAAGCAACGACGAATGGGAAGCGCGGCGCATGGACGGAATGAGCTACCTCACGTTGTATCGGTCCTTTTCCACGTCCTCTGTGTCGCCGTGAGTTATCATACAAAAAATACATGTGTGGCGCACGCACGGTGTTTCGACGGCCTTGATGTTTGACTCTCGACGTGTCCTGCACAGTGCAACAGGTGATATTGGTGATATAGCAGCATGTATGGAGCAGAATTGACTCCTACCATTGTGACCTTGTCGTTCATCTCGGCCTTGGTCTCGGGCCTTCGCACGCAGCATTCGGACGTCGTAGGCTATGGTTCTTTGAGAGTGATCTATCGTGGTGCAGAGGGTGGCGTACCTGGTTGCATTGTCGTGGTTGTGACGTTCAGGTCTGTCGTGCCATCCGTCCCTTCGCGTGTGACTGCTCTACTGCTTGGCAATGGTTCATTGATAAAGGCCTTTCGCGATGTCATGGGTGGCGTACCTGGTTTCATTGGTCGTTCGTGCGCTGTGGTTGACCACGACGCTGGATTAATGCTGAGTGAGCATCGTACTGCACCTTCGACTCCATCGTGTCGGAGTCCATGACCTCAAAACCAAAAGTACCGTCAAAACTCGATAAATATCATGTTTCAGGGGTTGCGCAAACACTTGCGCAAAGGGTCGAATATCCATCCATAAACATTACTTGTATATAAACTATATTGAGACAAGAAAATTTAATTCTATTTTGACTGAAGTACTCCGAATGTCGGAAGTCAACATCTACTACGAAATTCGATTATATTCTTCACGTGCTTTCGTTTGGCGATTTACAGTTAGATTTGGCTCTAATGGCCAGTGGGCCGAGAACTGGATAAGTTGCGGTCGAATAAAATCGAAGTGCGTCGAACAATGCAAATTGAAGAATGAGAATTGCAACACGGGTTAGGTTTAACACAGCAGCCAACCGACTACTCGTACGGTAAATTTATGCGGATGAAAGTGTCGTCGTTCTGCAGTCATTTCCCAATTTTACTCGTAGCCAACACTTCCTCGGTGTTCATCAACACCATCCTATACAAGGAAATGAATCGCATCTAACATGTTTAGGAACTGTGGCGACGACGACAACTGCGACGATGACAACTGCGACGACAGCGACTTACGGTACTGTATGTTTGGGCGGCCTGTAAGAGTTTCGGGTCGACATCAAAGGCTCATGACCCAGTGAACCAAATCGAACACGAATAGTCCTAGGATACAACATTAAGCTACAATATAAGCTATATTGCAGCGTCATATTCGTCCTGTGGGCGGAGGAGATAGTGCAGACGTGAAATACCCCTTTCCCTCCTGACGTTCACTGTTGCAATATTAAATTCCAATGTTCGTTGACAAATCTCACTTGACACTATAATAAAATTATGACATCAACAATACATTTATTGGTCATTATGATATCGAAATCGTGACAACTGCATGGTACATCCGCACTTTTTAGCCGTGAAAGCATGTGTTCATGTCAGTTACCATTACAGGTACAGTATGACGTGCATCAACCTTTCATATCAAGCGACGTCAAGCGATATAACTGCCTTAGAACTTTGCTTGTACTTCGTATTGATCACATAGGTAGTATTGAAATGATGTGCTCAATTCCATCCGACGAATGTTCATGTCAGTACGAGCGAGTCGTGGGGTTTAAACGCGGCAGTGTTCCTGGCAATGGGCATTGTCTCTTCTAGAGCTTAGATTGCTGCATTTACAAGAAGCAAACACTCATCTTGGACGAACTGGCTGACCCCGTTGTCATCAAGCACATTCACGAAATCCGCATCCGTTTAGCATCCAGCATGTGTCGTCGCGGATCTGATGTATCTTGGTACGACAACAATTCGTTTGTGCTTAAGCACCTCAGTAAGCTTCCCGGGTGGTATGCGGGAAGCGGTAAGAAGTTGTTTGTTGCACGGGCTGCCATTCACCCGTATGAGTTCCTGCCTGAAGCTCTGTGGGGGTGTTCAGCAGACATAATGGGCCTCACCCGTGCTTTGGATCGAGATATCTTTGTTTTCGCGTTTATGGCGCGAGCTTTGACAAGTACACTTTTGATGGACATGACCTCCAGCGCATTTTTCTTCCGACTCGACTGACCAATGGGGGGTTGAATTCAAAGCTAGTGGTCTAAGTGCTTGCTGCTTTTACCTGCAAGGTAACCACTTTGAACCGTTGCATCGATCACTTGGTTTAGATTAGTGAATTATATACTAAGATAGTTTTTGCCGCACAGTGTCATGAGCGTGTGATTCCGCACAGAGTCTTGAGCGTACTAAGAGATTGTCCCACTTAGAGTAATTAGTAACACGACGAGTTCTCAGATTATCCTGCTGAATATCGGAACTCCTCGGACGTAAATGTACTAACCGAACGAAAGAAGTATCGCATTGTGTTGTTCGAACGAATGTCTAATTTCCCCACAGGAGTTATACCCCCATACCTTCACAACACCCAAATTATACCATTAATGGGGGAAGGGGAGCGAAAATAGCTCAGTGGTAGAGCATCGGTTTCGTAAGTCAAAGGTCGTGGGTTCGATCCCCGGTTTCCCCGGATAATTTCCGCAAGGATTTATCCGTCCCTCCCCTGGGGAATCCGGATAACAAGGGCCGCGTACGAAGACGGGGACCGAACTTCGAAGAGGATCGGTCGAAGCACGAGGTATGAAGCGTTGAGCGAAGTAAAAACCGAAGATTACACACCGCCCCTGGTGGAGCAGGCGCGTTACAATTGGCGGTTCCTTAACATGTGGTTCTAGTGTCGGCCCTCGCGGAGGAATGTCTTAAAAATGATAAGGGTATTTCTCAGGATCGTCCATCCCTGTCCGATATTTCTCAAGATCGTCTATCGAGAAATATTATTATTCCAAAGGAAGGAAAGCAATTCCATTGGTCAAAAGTAAATCGAGTCAAACAGTAAAACCACTCGAACTCATTTCACGTTTTGCGGCCGACCACAGACTTTTGGGCAGGCGACAGTTGCGCACAGCCGTCCAGGTCCGACGATGCGACACCGGACACATGAGGTAGCGATTGCCATTCACTCTACCTGTATGCCAGGCTCATCCTCTTGCCGTAGCAGCACATCAAGCCGTCAATGCCCGCGCCGCGGCGACCTTGCGCATGAACCCGGTCACACGCGCACGGTCATCGCGGCGAAGACATTGACCGGACCATGGGTCTCGCTCGCCTCCTGACAGATTCGCCACCACCATGCACGCCGGTCACCACCATGCGCGCCGGACACCACTCGACCGGACCTGTCCTTTGTGCTGGACGGCAAAACAAGGCTGGTACGCTCC